TGATTGGTTTCCCTATTTAGAACCACCACTTAACTGCCTATGACATGGGATTCTTCTCTAACAGAGAACAGTTTGCTAGTTTTCCATTCCTTAAGCAAATACACAGCTCTTTGAGATTTTCTGATAATCATGGCCAACGGTGACAAAATAGATGTAAAGGAGCTCAATTCTTTTCCATTTAGAACTGAGTAAGGGAAATAAAACTCCATAGAGTAGAGATTTTAAAAGTAATTGGCTCTAAACCTTGCTCAAAGTTAACATTCCTGATTAACAGCCAGGAAGACAGCCTTTTATCTAGTGATGGCAAGACTATTTTCCAGGGGGCCCATCTACTTTCAGAAAGTAAGCCTGCCTATTGAAATACTTACCTGGCTATCCAGGTAGAGTACAAAGAAAGACTTTCTAGTTAGCTTTGTATTTAGAGTAACTATCCTATAGAAATGGAGAACAAGAGGTCTGTCATCAGCTTTTTCTGTTTATTCTAGTTGTTTATAAACATTGCCTAAAATTTCATTAGCTTTTGTGGCAAGACCATCACCTGCTAACCAATACTAGAAAATGCAGTCAATTAATATATCTAGGTATTTTTTACTCTAAATATTCAACCTAAGTTTCAATCTTCTTGAATTTACATACAAGTTCTTTCAATTTCTCAATTTCTGTACATGCTTCAGATTAAATTTATAAATGCTATGGGCCAATGATAGCTATGACTTCCTGCTTTAATGTCGTCTGAACATTTTATAAGCCTGTCCCTAGGTTTTCATCTAAATCTGAGATCCAGTACTAAATGGTGACAGGTCATTAAAAAGTTGTCCTCTAATTTTCAGCATCTCTGATTATCCTCTACTAGATATCCTTAACTGGATATGGTCAAAATGTAATCAGATAATAAATTATGTAAGTTCTAGATACAAATTATTAGAAAATATATTTGGGGTGGTTACAAAACAGTCTGGGTTCATACCCTCAAGGCTCTTAACAATATAATTATTAGGAGAGGACATTAAACCAGTAACAATCTCCTACAAGTAACCCACTAGGGTGATTCTTTAAAATTATGTAGTTCAGATCTACAATTATGCTGAATCATATGGATGAATCTCAAATATAATATTGGTTTAAAGAGGGCAGACACAAAATATATAGCGTATGATTCCACTTATTAGAAGTTAGTATAGGGGAAAGGAAGTAGCAGCATGAACAGGTCATGAAGCAGCTTATAATTTTCTATATCTTGATCTGGGTGCTGGTTACACAAGTGTGTTCAGTTTGAGCTGTACATTTATGAATGGTGTATTCTCTGATACAAATTATACTTCAATGAAAAGATTTTTAAAAAGTCATATTACTGAGCATTCAAAAACCAGATTAGCCAAGTTCAGAATCCTCAGTTTTACCATCTGGGTCAACAAGTACTAGTGGGTGTTAATGATGTATCCAAGCTTCTTGGAGGATGAGTAAAACAAAACAAAAGAGTCTCATACAAGCAGCTTAGTTCTAATTTACTCCTAATTTCAAAAATAAAATTTCACAGGGAATAATGACAGGAAACTCCAGAAGCCTTTTCTTACAAAAATACTTTAGGTTACTTAAACAAGAATTTTTTTTTTTTAACCCAGTAATTTTAAAACTAGATGTAAATTAATAATTACTGCAAAAAAATTAAATGACATCATCAAGTATCTAGTAAAAGACACACCATAAACTCACACAGACATTAATTTTAAGTTAATAAGTCATGTGTACTACTTATTTCTCTTTAAATATTGGTGCTGATCAATAAGGAAAGACAAGCTGACCCAAAGGGATGGTGCACTTAGCAACTGTTACTCTCATTTGTTAACTATATTTTATCATTTTCCTCATTAAGGCAGAAATACTGCAAGTGTTTATCAATAAGTTTAATCCTTACAAGCTACCTGATTTCTTTTAGTTTACTTGAGCTAAAGCTTCTTCCCACTAGTACTCCTTTACCTTACTGACCTGATCTTTACCAGAGGGTAAAATATAAATTCTCACTGTGAGCTTTTGCAGACAAAGGACTCACAACAATCACCTGCTCCCCAGTGGTCATCAAGATAAGTTTCTAAACTTACTGTGCTGATTTAACAAAGCAATATAAATAACTAAGTTTGGAAAGCTGTCCTTTAAAGCTAAAAATAGGATGTCAAAATTTAAAGCTACTATAATGAAATGCCAATAGGCTATGATAGTATTAAAAATGAACTCCTTCATAGTAAAATAATCCCCAGAAAGCTAACTATGGAAGCTATAATATTCATTTTAATAAATAGTTAACACAAATATGAGGCTTCCTAAGAAAGGCTTGTATTATTTTTGAGCTATCAGTACACACTGTCCTTATATTTGTTCATGGTTTCAGCTGATTCCTTGAGAATTCTGCAAATGACAAGTGGGGGAGCCAGAAAACAATGATGGCACCTACAGGAAAAGGGAAAGGAAAGCTTCAACTTTAGTACCATAACGGAATAAAGCTTCAAATATCAACGGAAAGAGAGAAAATCTAAATATAGGCAGACTGGTGAAAAATTTCTCAACTTGCGAATTCTAATTTTATTAGGGAAGGAAACAAAGGAGCCATGAAAGAAGTCAATGTGAGAAAGATATATTAGTTACTTATATTTTGGTTAAAAGATACTCTGTGAAAAGAATCCTGGAAAAAAAGATTCCAGTCTTTCAAGTAAGGCAAAACTAGGGATCTTCAGATGTCTAAGGTAGGTTTAATGAAAATTGGCACAGGGTTTAAAAGCTGCCTCTACTGAAAATGATTTCCAAGATTTTATAAATAGCCTGAAATATGGTGATCTATCAACACTGAAAGGTAAATTTATACCTCAAAGCAACTAAGCGATTTAAAGTCCCTTAAACTCCTGAATGGCTCTATTTAAAAGAATCAACACCGCAAAATATTTGTTTGCCAAGTTAGTAGTACAATTTTTAGAAATTTTAAATTAATAGTCAAAAATGAACAAAGGCAATTTGATGAGATCTAACACAAGAGGTCAGAGTTATATATATATTTTAAAGCTTAAAACACAATTCTTCAACCCATTTGTAATGAAAAAGAATAGTTTACTAGCTAACACACTTATTATAAAAAGTCTTTAGATCTTTGCTGAAGTTGCAGATAGTTGGAACTAATAAAAGCTAGCCACCACTGATCTTCTAAATTGAAAATTTAATAAACTAGTTAAAAAGTTAAAAGGAAACCACTAATCAGTTTCTACTGGGTTGAGATTGTCACTTTGGTACCAACAGGCCAACTTTAATGAAGAATGGCTGAATTAGAATATAAATTCTGATGATATTTTGGCTTTAACATACTATAGACAAGTATCCATTAACGTCTTTGGCTCTGGACAACAGGTTCCAAGAAGAAGAGAAAATATTTTCAACCCATGAAAAACTACAGATACAGCAACTTGCCTCATTTCTGATACCTTAAATGTTTCTGGTATCTAAAAAAGAAAACAGATAAGGAGTATTTAGCTGTAACAACAAATGAGGAGCAGGCAATTTCTATGGCTGTTTTATAATGAAACAAAAGAAACCTTTTTAATATTAAATCCAAATTATAAAAAATAAAGCTCAAACCTTTCTACATTAATTTGATGAAAACAATGGATATCATTCATATTAATGTCATGGTAGCTCGTTAAAGTTAACTATTTGAAATAAATTATCACATATCTGAAAACTGTTCTTATTACATTTCTAAATACAGTGTGCTTTTCCTTTTTCTAAAAGTAAAAGTACACCTGAAAATATTCACCCTGGCTACAATCTGGTAAGCCATTTGAATGATAAAACCTTCAAGATTGTTTCATGTCACAATTTACATTTATATCTTAAATTATACTGCTATAGCCGTATAATTTTAAAACTGAATTTATAAACATGGTACTGTAAATTTTAAAACTTCTTGTCCTACAAGTAGCTATTTAAAAACATTTTTAGTAAGAAACACATAATAATAAAAAAAACTGTTAGAAAATTTCTCTAGAGTGACAAACACAGCAAATTAAGCTGAAGAATTTAAAGACTGTTACCATTTCTAGGCAATGTAGATCAGGTCTTAACATGATATGTACATGCACTTAAGCAATACTCTTTTCTAATGAAAGAGACAGAGTTGAGTCCATGAGTGTTATCCAAACTATGCCAGAGGACACAAATGCGTTGCCAGGCAGAGTTAAAAGAATTTTACAAAGCTTTGTGTGAATTTTAAAAACATCATTTGTGCTCAACTTCTATTAGACACAGAATGATGGAGTGCTAATAAATATTCAGCAAAATAACTGAACACAGCATATACTACTTAAAATGTGTATTTTAAAAGCAGAAAGATAAACCAAAGTATCTTTTGCCATAAATGAACTCCAACTTCATTCAATATTTTAAAAAGTTAAAAATAAAATTTATACATTTCTGTGAGAAAATAAACCATTTTAGGAGTTTACAAAACAGTTACACAGATCTAGTAAATTCTAGCAAATGAGCTTGATATTAAATTTTTTCACCAAGAGTTAAACAATGACTACTACATTGATATTCTCGTCTGGTCTCTTCTCCAATTTCTTAATATAAAATAACATTTTGTTTTAAGTCACTAATGCTCTTACGGAAAATCATATAAAATAGCATAAAATTAAAATAATTATAAGTAGTGTATAGAATATATTTTTACATTAAAATACACATAGGTGACTAAATATTTCATATAATAAAATCCAACAGAATATGTAAATCCTTCCAAAAAGTAAATATAATTAGAAGTTCAATTAAAAAAAAAGTTTATATTCTATTTAAAATAGATTGTTCTTTTGGTTTATTTTGCTGCTTTGTCCCATGCTAGATAGGTGATTCCCCACCCCCCTACAACAAGGATCAGTTTTAGTGATGAGAAACAAGTACAGTGCAAAGCAATTCATGCATACACTTTTGCATGTATGCATTCCATATGTAAGTATTCATACCTATCCCAGAGGTTCTTTGATTCCTGAAACGTGTTCAAATGGAACGCTTGGTAGAAAGCAGATGAAGGATTCCTGTGAGATCCAAGAATCAAATGGAAATGAGATTGAGAAAGTATAGTAAAATAACTACTTTTCCAAAAAAAAAGATAAAAGATTTTAGATTTTTAAATAATGTAACCGCTTCAATAAAAAGAAAAAGCCACATAGCTTGCTTAAAAGCATTCTGAAAGAAATTAAAACTGGACAAAATCCAGCAGACCCAGAACACAATTCAGGATCATAGTTCTAAAAGAAAGCGGTAATAGAGATCAAATTAAATACTAACTTGTATTCAATTGTGTGTACATGTCTCTATACATATGAATGTGACCAGTTTATAGGCTAATCAACACTACTCTATATCAGATGACTTTATAAATGCCTATATATGTTTAGCAGTTTAACAAAGCTGTTCTGAGGTACATGCGAAACAAGCTAAGTACCTTCATAATAGAAAAATTCTTTGTTGGATCTATTCGATAGGGTTTGATGATAAACCCTGGACTTGACACTGTTTCAACCTTCAGAATCTATTTATTCATGTGTGGTTTCTCTGGGTTAAGATAAAAAATGATATTGCAATTGTATGGCAGCTAACTTCTTGTATTAATATAAGTCCCACATTAGGAGGTAAGAGCTTATTCACCATACCTTAATCACCATCCATTCCTACAATTCCCTGGGGACACTTTCCCTAGATATTTCCATACAATGTCCACTGATAGGCTCATCGGGGGAGGATTCCAGCATGCATGATTCACTTCATATCTCAGGAGTGGTTTCTCTGGGAGACTAAACTTTTGAAAAATCTGCTCTCTAGCAGCTCCCCCTCCACCTCAGAATATTTCCAAAGTCTCCCCCACCCCCAACCCGTACGTTAAGGAGCTCACAAAAACTTGAAACAATACCCTAAAATTCTTGATCCATGCTGTAGAATAACTGTAACAAGCTACAGATATTGAGTGCTTATTACATACCAGACACTATTCTAAGTGTTTTACATTTATTACCTCAATTCTGTAACAGCCCTAAGAAGTAGATGCTATTATTATTTTCATCTCACAGATAAGAAAACTGGGTCAGATAGAAATAACTTGCTTATGTCACAGAGTTAGTAGGTAGCAATCTGGTCCCAGTCTGTCTCCATCAGTTAAATCATAATATTACTAGTCTTGCAGAGTGGTTCAAGAACTGAGACTATATGCAGAGCTCCTGGTGCATAGTCAATGCTCAATAAACGAGTTATCATCATCGAAACGAGGTTCAGATACAATACAGCAATTATGAGATGCTAACAAGTACCTTAAGAGTCTCTGCAGTGTTATTAGCCCAATAATAAAACTACTTTTAAGTTCTACTGGAATAGCAATCAAGTATTAATACCAACAAACAAAACAAATACACAATAGAATTCTATGACTTCAAAACTCAGATTAAGACTCATTGTTATCTACTGAATTTCTTAAAAACATTTTTAAAAGGCATTTTTAATTTTAACCAGTAAGGGTACCTTTTAGATGATACAAAACTAGGAAAGGCAGACAGACACTAGATGCCAGAGTGTCACCAAAGCAACTGTTTGATTAATTGGAAGTTTTCAGTATGTGTACTTCTTTGCTTATCCTTCTTCAACTCCTTTCTATTCCTTTAACTATTTTTTTCTTGACTATGTCCAAGGCAATCAAAGGCACTGATTAGACCTACTAATATCAAGAAAGGATTAAGAGGCTGCTAACTACTGTTTATTTAACAGCTTGTATCCTCCCTCTCAAGATATATTTGTCAGGCCCCTTGTTTCACTATACTTAGAAATCAGTCTGCCAAATTAAATGAAAGCCGACTAAACCAACTGAAAACTCAATTTGGCTTTTTTACAAGGGTTATCCAGGACCATATGGGAACAAATATGCTATTCACACAGGTCTGTTTGGAGACCTTGGATTTAAAATAAACAGAGTGACTCAAAAAGGAAGGTAGTAAATATAAGAGAATAACAAAGAGTAAACTTGGAAGTTATTCTATAAGTCTGAAATTTAAAATTCATTAGAGTATTAATATATTTATAAGGATGGCATTCTTTAAAATAACCTCAGATCCCCTGACTCTGGAAAAACATATACATATATATTTAATTTGAATCAAATTCATATACCAAATAAATTGGTTTTAAATGAAGTCATATGATTTAAGTTCTGAAATTCCAGCATTTTTACAGCACGGACTAATGAAATGCTCCTCGTAAGTTAAATGTAGAAGTAAAAAAAGAATTTATCTGTAGTTAGTCGTATATTTTGGGGTGAGAAAAATCTGTGAAATAAAATACTATACGTGGACTTAAAGTCCTTAGAACATGTCAGAACAAACACATTTAGGATGCAAAAGCTTTCAGTTAACAATCACTTTCTACATATATTCAAAGTGAAGAAGCTATATGGAGTTATACAATCATGTACTGAAGAAAAACGTAAATAGTCTATATTCCAAGGATAAAGACAATCTCATAAAATATGAAATTTTTGGTTTCTAGAATACTTCAGTTGGGATGGTATCCATAAATTGAAGGATTTTTAGCTAATAGCAACAATAATTAGTCAAAACATAGAGTAATGGGCATAGATTAAAGGAGTCAAGTCTGTGAAACCTAGCTGATCAAGAACTTCAAAAGACTCATTTGTAAATCCTGAAGGGCTTGATTATCAAAGACTTCTGTTTTAGAATGACAAAATTGAGGAAACTAAGAGCCCAAGAAAAATGCTGTTAATGGGGGTTCATTTCAAGGTTACAGTCTCTGAAATCTGAAGGAACCAAGAGGCAACTTATTAAAACATTTATTAGAAATATTAAATTTTATGCAGCACTGGTGACAAATTCTCTACTGCCCAAGAAATAAAATTTGAAACCATTTTCCTAACAACATATTTGACTGTCAATGTAAACTACTAATCTAAATATAGAGCCAATGAAGTACTTCTTAGGAAGAGGTATGGTTTATTCTGAATTTATTTCAGCCACCTAAATGAAAATGTTGTTTTCCTATTTGAAGACATTTTTCAAAACCAATGAATAAAATATATTAAAATATATTCTTTTCTCCCTGACTTTATGTACTAGTCTGTCATATTAATTTCCAAGTACATGAAAAAACTACATCACAAAGTGATTCAAATGTGATCTGCCTTACTAAGATACTATCTATGTAGGGTAACTATAGCAGAGAGAAAAAACACACACATATATACTATACTTCAAAATTAAGCTACAAAAATCATTGAAGCTTAAAGGATGAGGTATAGGAGGCCTGAACTCAGTCACTATCTTCTCTTATGTCAAAACTCAACTCCAGAGATCTCTAAATAGAAACCAGGGAAATGCAATAAGGAGAGGAACAAGGACCATGTCCAACATTATCTAGGGATTATAAATGATTAAAAACATCCTTTAGGTAAAGAATTAGAATACAACAGATCAGTGGCTATAGTAGGTTTCTTTTCTTCCATCCTATAGTTAGCAATATAATACAACAAAACTAATTCTGGGAATATCCAAGAGCAGTCATTGGCTTTGGAGTCAGAAGGCCTGAGTGTGAATCCATGCTTTCTTTGTCACTTAACAGCTAGGTAACTCAAATCCTCAGAGCATCAGTTTCCTTAACTCATAAAAAAGGGGAGGAAAACACTTAGAATTGCTTAAAAGGTCAAACCAGATTATATATACATAGGGTCTAACACAATTAAGCTTGGTTTAACATAGAGTTAATTTCCAAATTATGCTGTATAAAAATCAATTTTTGGTAGAGTATCTTTATATATACCAAAATGTTTCATCATTACTGAGGTAATATTGAGGCAAACAAACTACTTAAGGCTAACATAAACAGAGCCAGGTATACCAACCTATTTAGTACATTCCACTGGATGAGAACTCTGACTTCTGAGACTCCGAGCTCCCCCAGGATTTCCTTACACATAACTTTATCACAAGATTTTAATTAAAAATATACAATAATCACTAAAAAGGATACTGAAATGGTACCAAGATACATATTTTAATAATAAAAGCTTCAAGAAACACCTTTAATAGCAACCATACACTTACAGGAGAACGCACACATAATAATGGGTTGCATCTGAAGTCAAAAACTTGGATGGAGGAAAGAGGCAAGGCTTTCAATCTATACTCTTGTATATTTTGGACTGTATTAATGTATTACCTATGCAGAGAATAAATTAATTTTAAGTCGGTCTAACTAGTTCCTCCCCATATCAATCTGACATGATATCTTAACTTGTTCCCATTAGCATCTTATATTTATTTGCTAATTATTTTCATTTAGCCTGAGATCGTTAAGGGAAGGATTATCCCAGTACTTACTACTCAGAGAGCACAAAGAAAGTTGATTAAGATTCACTTTAAATGTTTTCTTGGGCATCCAACCTACTTATTGAGTTTCCGTAAACTTCATTTTTTGTCACACAATAGTTGAGTGGAAGGAAAACGGTTTTGACAAGGAGAAGGCTTAAGCGGGCAGCTCTTACATAACGTGCCTAAATGTATGAACTCTTACATAGGGAACCTTAAAATCTGACCAAGCCTCAAATTCTAATTTTACCAACGAGGAAAACTAAGAGAAGTAAAATGACTTGACCAAAGAAACCAGCTAAGTGGTAGAAGAGCCAGGATTAGAATACAATTTGCTGTACTTCTTACTATCTCAAGACTTTCCTGTCTTAAAACAATGTCTCCTTTTCTCTGATTACATCCATTTCATTCAATTACACTTTCAGATCAAAACTGAAGACTCTTGATATGATTTGTAGCTTGTCAAGGTGTAACCTGGGAGAGCAGTATGGACATTGAAATACTATTCTGTCATACATAACTGCCATATCTACGGATTGTTCACAAATTACTTGCATAACTCATTTAATCCTCTCAAACTCTCAAAGGCAGGTTTTCCCATTTTTCGTATGGGGAAACAAGAGGCTTGGAAGGCTATAGCTCAAGGTCAAATGCCTCAAGTGTGCAGCATAGTT